GAGAAATTCCTTCTCACCTGTTTGCTTGAGTTTTCAGACCTTGTATAGCTTAAAAGTGAAAATTGAAGGCTTCTTGCTCATTATCTTTTCTAGCAGAATTTAACTTTTGCCTGTACGGTGAAGTCTCTGAACAGAGGATTTTCTGGGTATCAGAACACATCTTTTGGGACCTCCCTAATAGGTCAAGCAACCAAATTCTGCCCTGATGAGAAGCTTTCAACAAGACTTCTGGATTCAAGATCCATTAGAAGTATATGAGTAGAATTTTGGCCTTCTTGACTGCTGCTTCTGCCCCTGACCTCCCACTCAAGCCACATACCCAGGCTGAAATCAGAGTCCTGGTTCTGATGTAAATCAGACTTGCACCAGGATGTACTACCAGGCCTTGATTATAAGAATATTACATAAAGCAATGGTTACAATGGGAAATGCAATGTACTTAGAAAAACTGGCGGCAATTGCAAACGTACTTAAAATTATTTCAGCACTTCTGTACTTCCTGGATCAAGAAAACAGAAGTTCCAACTACTTTTGCATCAACACTAGTACATATGCAACAAGTAAGGGGCTCAAATCACTTAACTGGTGATATTTACTGCATGCACTGGAAGAAAGTTTCAGTACGGTACTGTTATACATTCAGTATAACCCACTGATATCAGAGTCAATTCCTGTATTAATGAGAAACATCAAGGAATTGTATTTACTTGAAAGCCAGATCTGTAGAACATTCTCACTTTAAGCAAAATAAACCAGTCTTCCATATGTCACTGAGAGTATATTAGGAAAAGTATTCATGCCATTAATTTGGTGATCTCAGAGATATTGACAGCATTCAAACCGCTATCATCACACCTTATCTGTATCCCTGTGTTTTCACAAGGCAATAGGCAAGTTTGTTTTCAAACTATAAGATAAAGTTTTGAGTCACCTCCCCCACCAGTCAGGTAATCACACTGTAATTTAAACTTAGTAATAAAGAGCTATGGTTTAAGCCATCAGGCAAACTCAGGTAGCAAAAAAAATTTCAAGTCAAAACCACCAGCCAAGCTGGCACTTCTGCTGAACAGTTATTTTCACACTGCTGATCTGCTACGTAACGGGTGTACGAACTACCATAATTGCTCACACTGAACCAAGCCAACAGCAGAGGAGTTAGAGATTGGAAACATGAATGATCCACTATGATTCTGTGTTTCACACCTGAATTAGAAGGAAAAACCAGTACTTTAAGTAAGGACAGAGAAAGCTTTTTCCCACAGCACACTGGAAGCAAGGGAAAAAAAATGCTGGCTGGGGTCTCTAGAAGCCTGACTACTATCTCACAGTGTCTGTAGCCAGGGATGTCTTAGGTTTATGAAGGCTGTTAGTAGACTTCAATCCCCAAATGCAGAATGCCTGAGAGGAGATGATTATAATTATTGCCTTTAAGTGGCACAGAGCTGTGTCCAGAGTGGCTGGCAGTTTTCAGAACATGTATGTTTCACTTCTTACTGAACTTAATTTTGAAGTACAGAAATGCTCCTATCAAACAGATATATATGTGAGTTATGTATATTGAACAAATCAAAACAGGTACTAGTTAGCTGTCATAAAAGCAAACATACTTAATACCACAACTACAGCTGTGTTGGACAAAGTATTTGTATTTTTTCCATTTTTACATATTTCAAAGCTTCTAAAATGCTTCAGCTGAAAAAGGAGTATCATTTACCTTTTATTAAAAGGTCCAAAGACTTACACATACACAAAGTTTTTCAAACTGAACACAGTAAGGATAAAAGCAGCTTCTAATGCAGGTAGAAGAGACATGTTCCTACAGAAGGAATCACTCCTGTGGCAGTGTAATAAAGAATGGTAACAGCCCTATATACACACACACACACACACACACACAAAGGACCAAGCTAAATCCAGCCTACAACACACAAGGTTTTACAGCACTAGGTTTTGAAATAGTTTGTGACAAAGTTTGAAAAGCACAAAAAAAATTTAGCCATTGCTCTACAAGTTCTCATTATCTCACTTACTTATACCAGAAAGCCTGGGGGAAAGAAAAGAAAAAAAAAAAAAGAACAGTTCTTCCTTCTACATCTTCACACTCACACTTTATGAACTTTGGAAGCATCAGTGCCTCACCCCATCTTGCCATCCACTTAGCTTTCACAATAGCACTATCTGCTATTTAGAAGTGGTATTAGGGAATTCTCAATTTTGCTTAACTTGTCCAAAATTAAAAATTGTCGTTACTTACCACTTTTTCCTTGTGCTCCCACAAAAAACATAGGAATTCGCTTTTAACAGTGATTCTCCCCCCAAAAGTTAAAAAGTTCAAGATGCTTAGAACATCTTAAACAAAAAGCCATACACCAACCTACCTTCCCCCATCCTCCGCACCTCCATTTCTTGCTGTATTTTGCTTAGTTTTGAGCAACCTATTCCACACTACCCCTTAATTTGGAAAACTTCCTATGAACATCCACAAACTTCTACTGTTGTTCAGAGAATCCTTGATAACTACCAAAAAATGACAGTCAGAAGTCACATGATTTACACAGACTGTTTTACTGCAGCCTTTCAGTACTTAAAGGGGGCTTATAAGAAAGATGGGGACAGACTTTTTAGCAGGGCCTGTTGCAACAGGACAAGCAGCAATGGTTTTAAACTAAAAGAGAGTAGATTCAGACTAGATATAAGGAAGAAATTTTTTACAATGAGGGTGGTGAAACACTGGCACAGGTTGCCCAAAGAGGCAGTAGATGCCCCATCCCTGGAAACATTCAAGGTCAGGTTGGAGGGGGCTCTGAGCAACCTGATCTAGTTGAAGATGTCCCTGCTCACTGCAGGGGGGTTGGACTAGATGACCTTTAAAGGTCCCTTCCAACCCAAACTATTCTGTGATTCTGTGACTATTTCTTTCAGTTTAATTTTCCATTAGTGCTTACATACAGGTGCTTATCCGCCTACACAATGCCTTGCACTGTGGTATACTGATGCTTCCTATGGAGACAAAAAGTCTTCAAATCCAATGGCACTGAGAAGTCCAGAAGCTGGACAGAGTAAGAAAGTCCAAGGACAATACAGAACTGCAGTTCCTCAAGAGAAACTCTTGAGGAGTAAATAAACCACCACTCATACTCCACACAAGGCACGCTTACTCAGATATTACGAGCTCAAGTCACCTTTGCCTTCATTCCCACTGGGCTGAGAGAAGAAAGCTAATCCAGAGGATGGAGAGAGCACAGTCAAAACCTGTCACCCTTTTAAAAGTCAAGGAGATCAAAGCTTTCTTACTGAGCAGGAGCAAGTTATTACAAAGAGAACTTAATTTCTAAATGACACTAAGGAGCTAAGACACCTAATCACGTAATGCAAACAGCTCTACTTTCCCACCACACTACCTGGATTTTGTCCTATTCCTCACACGCCAACACTCCTCATGACTCAAGTTGCCCTTGTCAGGAAGCAAAGCTGCAAAAAACTATTGAAAAACTTTTACAGCTACCAGGAAATGGCTTCCAGACAGCAAGCTGGACACAACAGCTTGCTCAGGTGTTGGTAACAGGGCTATCAGGAAAAAGTTTTTCGTTGTAGAGTCACACGCTACTTATTCATGAGATTAAGCCAGATCAGAACAGACTCCTTTCAGGAAAACCAAAACTACAGATTCTGCCAACCCTCTACTCCCTGCTTTTCTTTCCGCAAAAGAAAAAAGAAAAGCACAAGTAGTCTATTCATAGAAAACAGTCGAACTCAGCTCATAATTAGTCAAGGAAAAATAAAAATGAAGTGAGAAAACATCCGATGTTGCTGCCCACATAGATAAAGCAAGGCACTAAGAAAATCTGTCATTTTAACTGCTCCTAAGCCACAGACTTTTCCAGACAGGTATATATTAAGTCAAAGTTGAGGAGAAAATCCTGTATAAGTTGCTGCACTACCCGGAACACCAGCGTCCTTCCAAAGGATATTTGTAGAATTGCCCTTGATTAAGGCACATAATAAACCAGCTAATGGAAATCATCATTTCAGCAGAAAGTTCCTCTCTTTTCATAAAGGCACTCATTGTGTAAACCGTTCTTTGAACAATAACCGAAACATCTGCATTAACAAAACAGAAGCCAGCTAAATAACACTCCTCCTTAGTCATGACAGGAGCCATCTGTTCACCTAGCTAACCCAGGACAAGTGTGGCAAGCATGTTATGCATCCTTATATTCCATGTTTCAGTGTGCATTTTTTGTGTTTCTAAGCTGCAATAACAGCATTAATCATACCAATAGAAGTCTTAAACACACATGCCTACAATGAAAGGCTCCAAATACCAAAGAAAATTCCTTTTGGTCTTCAATTAAAGACGAAGAGTGAACCATAGCCTTGTATGCATGGGGATGCGAGTTTCTAGATTCTGTAGTTATTCTTGTCCTGTTAGACGTCCTTTTTCTTTTCTTCCTTCCTATTCTGTTGGGTTTTTTTGGTTGAGGTTTGGGTTTTTGGGGGGTTTTTTGTTTTTGTTTTTTTTTGTTACTTAGTCCAGTTATTCTTACAACTGGATGCTGCTACTTTTCAGGAGAACACTTCATGGAGTTTACATAACCAATTCTATTCAAATCTCACAACAGATTTTCATGTGTTAACCCTTGTGTCCAAGAGTACTGGATTAGGTCCTGTTATTCCAAAATTCAGCAGCCCTACCAGAGCTGCAAGGGACACCTTTTCATGTGTCGCACCCATGCAGCTCTATGAGCTCCCGGCTCTCACTACTGTTGATACAAGAAGCTTACCCCCTGCTGCTGCTGGATCCCTCCTTGCTGCCTCTCCCCTGAACTGCTATCCAGACCCCGGCACCCACTCCGGCCAACGAACCCCGCTGCCTCGGCAGAAACGGAACTTACTGTGTTGAAACCAGGTCTGAGCAGAGACAGGAAGCAGGGAAAGGGACCAGCTGTGGGGCGTGCAGGCTGCCGCCTGGAAAGGAAGAAGCGGGGATTGCTCCGTACCTGACCCAGTTGTCGCGGAACTTGCTCTGCTGGGGCTGGTTCAAGTAAATGGTGCGGGCTGGTGCCTCGTCCAGATCCGCCGAGGACGTGGCTCCGGACAT